TACAGGAGGAAGTGGGGGAAATATTGGGGTGTAATGTGTTCAGGAAGAATAGTTAGGGGTACAGCCTTGAACTACTCAATCTTTTATCCAGGGCCACTTTTGGTATATATTACCTAAGTTATCAATCTGTTCTTCTGCATTGAGACTTAGGTTAGAGGCAAGAACAAAAGAAATTCTTTTTTTTTTTTAAATTATGGTACAAACATGTAACAAAACATTTGTCATTTCAACATTTTTTACATGTATAATTCAGTGGCATTAATTATGTTTATCATGTTGTGTAACCACCACTACTATCTGCTCCCAAATTTTTTTGTCACCTTTAACATTGCCCCCTACAGCACTCCTTTCCTCCTCCCTCCTGCCTCTGGTAACCACTAATAAACTTTGGTTTCTATACACTTGCCAAAATAACTTATTTCTGACTCTCTTTTTGTTTTTGTTCTTCTGTTTGTCATTCCTCCTTGGTGTCTGGGCTTCTCTGCAATGCCTTCCTCCTCTGAGCAGGAGGCAGTGATGATAGAAAGATTTGTAGTGGGGAAAGTTTGTAGAATCTTTTAAATAATCTTCCAACATTATAAAATAATAATTTGCCCACCAGTAGAGAAAAAGACAGCTTCATTAAGGACATACCTGTGTGCACAGCCTTTTCTGAGAATAACCGTGAACTCCTGAGGCTTCCGTTGGGTTACCAAGAAAGGTTCAGGTTTTTGACACCTGTCCTGATGGCTTTGTGCCTTCTGGTGAGAATCATTTACTGAAGACATATCCTGCTTTAATTTGTAGCAGTTCTAATAACTTCCTGCATATGAGTTGTGCAGGCACCTTATAGGTGGATTGGGATTGTTCTGAGCACTACACTTTTAAGGGCTGCTTTTTCATTTGGATTAAGCATCTAACTCAAAGCTTGCTGGCTTTCCTTTTCTTTCTCTTTCTCTTCCTTTGTTAACAAAGTACCTAGTTACAGTATCATTATGGCATTGGTTCTGGAATTTAGGATATAAGTTCATATATGACATACTGAATAATACTGAAAGTTGACATTTGATTGTACATTTTCCTACTGTTTTCTACATATCACAGTTTGTCCTAAAGATAGCAGTTCTGTGGTTGTTTTGGCTACTTATCTACTTATTTTTAACATACTGGTAAATTATGAACTCAAGCAGTCATAAAATGATTTTTTTTCTTCCGAAATAGAAATAGAAAATTCTCATGGAATCCAGACTTTCTGTAGTCAAGGGGACTGGATGAACCCCTGAAACTACTGGTCTGAGATAATCTTTAAAATTTAAACAAAAAATATCCCCTGAACTCTTGTTAAAACCAAATAATACTTTAGCTTAACTAGCAAAAAATGTCTACCTCAAGCATGCTCTGTTAAGGACTATCTATATGGGATCAAAGGTACTCTGGTGATGCAGTAAGTAAGGCTATTTGGGGTATGGTGCCATACCAATAGTTATTAAGGGAATTTTAAAAATCATAGGTTCAGTACTTTATTACAGATCATCTAGATTAGGAAAATGTCTGATGATGCTACATTTGTTAGGTGAAAGAATTGGACTAGGTGATAATGTTTCTTCTGATTTTAAATTTCTATAAATCTTTGTACACACATAGGGAATTTCTGAAAGGATACAAGAGACTGAGAATAGTGTTTGTTCTGGCAAAGGGGCCAGGAATCTGGATGTTAGGGAGACTTGATCATAGATTCATTTTTTTGTACTATTTGCATTTTTGTCATATGCATAGATTGTTTTCTAAATTAAAAAAACTAATATAAGAGGAGATGAAATTATGTTTTCCTTAAAGAAAAGTAATCTGAAATATATAATACACTGAAAATGATCCAGTGGACTAAAAATACAGTCATTGAAAATAATTAAGTCTCCAAAGCAATATAGAAAAGCTGTGAATTAACAAGTAAACTATTAACAAATAAACTATTACGTGTTCAAATGACTGATATTGCATGGTATATGAAGAGACAAAAACAATGTTGAGATTGTGAGTAAATTTTATTTTTTCAAAATGTTTTTTTAAAAAACAAAACAGTCATTTGTTAACTGACTTATTTTTTGTTAAACTGAAGGGAACTTTAGAACAGCCTTTGGGGCCAGAGGCCAGAGCCAGGGTGAACTGGTCAGATTCCTAACCAAATTGGTTGTAACTGGCAGAGTCCAGAGGAAAATGAAGATTTAATTAGTGCAGCAGTAAAACTGTACCTTCAGGCCCATGATGTAAGGATAATGGCAATAATATCTAACCTGGGGTGTTTCCCGTGTTGGCCAAACACTTTGCCAAGCATTTTGTTTTCTTTTTTAAAATTACATTTTGTTGTTGAAAATATATACAACAAAGTATATACGAATTCAACAATTTCTACATGTGCCATTTAGTGACATTGATTACATTCTCTAAGTTGTCGCAGTCGTTCTCACCTTCCTTTCTGAGTTGTTCTTCCCTCATTAATATAAACTCACTGCCCCCTAATGTTCCTGTCTAATCTGAGTTGCTGTCACTTTGATCCCAATAAGAAACCAAACTAAATTCACTGCTATCAGTCGATTCTAACTCATAGTGACCCCCCCATTGGGTTTCCAAGGCTGTAAATCTTTACGGAATTAGATTGGCCCATCTTCCTCATGTGGTGCAGCTGGTGGATTTGAACCATTGACCTTCTGATTAGCAGCCAAATGCCTTGCTTACTGCATCACCAGAGTACCTTTGATCCCATATAGATAGTCCTTAACAGAGCATGCTCAAGGTAGACATTTTTTGCTAGTTAAGCTAAAGTATTAATTTGGTTTTAACAAGAGTTCAGGGGATATTTTTTGTTTAAATTTTAAAGATTATCTCAGACCAGTAGTTTCAGGGGTTCATCCAGTCCCCTTGGCTACAGAAAGTCTGGATTCCATGAGAATTTGAAAAGCTGTTCTGCATTTTCTCCCTTTTGATCAAAATTCTTCTATGGAATCTTTGATCAAATGTTCTGTAAGGGTAGCCTAGCACCATCCAGTTCTTCTGGTCTCATGGCAAAGGAGGCATATAGCCACACATTCCATATCCTCCTAGTATTCTTGACTTTCCTTCTTCCTCTTTTGTAGGCAAATAGAGACCAGTTGTCACAGGCACTTTACTTTTATCAGCTATATTAGACCACCTCACAACCTCATTCATTTCCCCTATCTAGTCAACATGGTGCTTCAGTGGTGTCTCACATGTACTCAGAGTTACCTGACTCTCACAAGAATGTAGTCTTTTTAGTGAGCCTTTCACACCCACCTGGCTGGCTTCAGGGTCCACAGCTACTTCCTTAGTAGTTGGACCTCGGTGGCTCTGCCCTCTGTGTGAATAAAGGTGGTTCTGGCACCCTCTCTGCTTTCTGATCTCCTTAGAGGGCCAGAACAGAACAGAGCTGAGCTTCCAGGATGAAACCTAACGCTGAAGAATTCACAGCCACACCTAGTGTCCGCTTACCTCAACTTCTGTGCCTTTCTCAACTTCTCCTGTTTGCCCTGTTTACTTTATCCTGTTGTTCCTAAGGTTGCAACTAGATTTTTATATTTGGAGCTGGGGGAGAAAGACAGCTATTAGAACAACTTCAGCTACCCCCTTAAACCTCCAAAGGTATGCTGAAGACAAAGTCCACACTTGTCACACCTTTTTTGGCTGTTGTCTTTTTTCCTTTGATAACTTTTTTTTTTCCTTCTTACCTTAAATCTGCCCGGAGACTAAGCTACTTCCCAGAAATCCTTCTTTTGCGTTTTCAAAATATTGTGTACCTGTGGTTATTATCCTATTTTAATTGTCAACTTATGCTTGAGATCACAAAGTTTATCCAAAATGAGGAGCAAAGTAGCTTTCTTGTAGATGTCATTTGGTGTTAACCTGGTCATTTTACAAATTGCGTCATTTGCAACCTTGGAATCAGTTCCTTTACTGGAAATTAAGTGGGGCTCATGCAATCACAGAAAAGAGGTTGTCCCAAGGCTGTGGTGATCTTTTACCCAAGTGATCAGTTCTGAGGGAAAAGAGAAAGCCTTTAATACAGTGGTACAGGAGTAAACCGTGTTTTAAAAGTAGACTCTGTTTGACATGGTCCAGTGTTTAATTTAGGACACATTACCTACACAGCAGGGCCAACCTGAAACATCAAACTGATTAATAGGCGTGTGTTTTTGATCAAAGTATGCATTTTCATAGCCTGTAAGACAGAGCACTGAAATGTAAAATTTTCAGTTTCCTTTTATTTTTATTTTTTAAATTGTGCTTTGGGTGCAAATTTACAGAGAAGATTTGTTTTACATTCAACAATTCATGTACATTTGATCTCACACCCCATTACCATCCCTGACCATAACAAACTTCTTCTCCCATCCCTGTGACTACCTTCTCCCTGAGCCCTTCTTAACTATACACTTCTGTCAGTTTCCTTTTAACTAAATTTGACTTTGTTTTGTTAAATCTTAGAGTTCAGGTGGCTTAATGGTTGAAACCTACCACAACTAACCAAAAGGGGTGCAGTTAGAACCTACCAGCTGATCCATAGAAGAAAGATGGGGCAATCTGCTTCTACATGAGCAGTCAGCTTCCTTAAAGATTTACCACCTTAGAAATCCTATAGGGACAATTGTAACCTGCCCTGTAGGGGCGCTATGAGTCAGAATCGATTTGATAGCAATGGGTTTGTTTTGGTTAAACCTTAATAGGCTGGCACTTAACACAGTTGTAGGCCAGACTTCAGTATAGGGGTCCATTCTGATTGCTCTTGAGTTACTTTTATTTTGTCACTCCTTTCATTCTTTAGCTTTTAAATGGTTTCCTTTGACACTGTAGAGATGGGTTAGAGTGGAAATTTCCCCCATTTTACCCTCTTTGAAGTATTGAATGGTGGGCTGGGGCCACAAGGGCGCCTGACTTCTGAAGGGCCACACTGGGATTCTATTTGAGGGGAGGGCTCCTTCCTTAACCGGGACTAATTCTGTGTTCTTCAGTTTCACACAGTCAGATCACCCGCCTCTACAGCCGATTCACCAGCCTGGACAAAGGAGAGAACGGGACTCTCAGGTAGGCAGTGGCTTTCTTTACTTTCTGACAGAAACCAGAAATTCTGGCAATGTCTAAATAGGACCTTTATCACAGAGGCAGACAGCATAGGCATCCAATACACAGAGGGCAGGGACTATTTCTTCACTGGTCTATTGCATCGTAGATCCACAAGGGAATTAAATAAGCAGGGCAGTGACATTAAATTTGACACTAGTTGCTTGCTGTTTTTTTCACAACTCCCTTTAGTTTGGGTGGCCACTGTTCTGGTCTTAGGAAAGTACTTTCCAAGAATTTAAGCTCTACCTGCTTGTGTTTTATTCTTATCACAATGCTTTCCAAATATACTGGTTTTTACAAAGTTGATTCACAGCAATCCAGGTAGTCTAAGATGCTTTTTGGTTTTTTTGGCCCTCTCTCCTCTCCTTTCCTAACTCAGCGCACAATCCTAGAATATAGTTTATAAGCTTTGGACCCTAGGGTACAATATAATTTTATTTATTTTGTTGTTAAAAGTATACACACCAGTTCAATTCAGCAGTTTCCACATGTACCATTTAGTGACACAGATTACATTTTTTGAGTTGTATATCCATTCTCACCTTCCTTTCTGTGTTGTTCCTACTCCATTAACATAAATTTACTGTAAGGTTTCCATCTAATCTTTTGAGTTGCTATTGTCACTTTGGTCCCATATGGATCTTGAAAGAGCACAGTGCTCAGGGCATACATTTTTTACTGTTTAAGCTGAGCTGTTTGGTTTTAAGAAGCGTTCAGGGGATATTTTTGGTTTAAAGTTTAAAGATTTTCTCAGGGCAGTAGTTTCAGGGATTCAACCAACCTTCATGGCTCCAGAAAAGTGTGGAGTCCAAGAGAATCTGAAATTCTATTCCCCGGCAAAGGAAGCAATTGTTCATGGAGGCAATTAGCCATACTTTCCATATCCTCCTCCTGTTCCTGACTCTCCTTCTTCCTCTGTTGCTTCAGGTGAATAGAGGTAAATTGTTGTGCCTTGGAAGCCCGCTTGTAAGCTTTTAAGACCCCAGGCACTACACAACAAACTAGGAGGCAGAACAGAAGCACTGTTTAGTTTAGTGTTTACATTATTAAGCCAGTTAACTGGGATGTCCCAGGAAACCATGATCCTAAACTTCCAAAGCAAGAAACCAAATCCCATAAGGTTTTTGGTTATACATAAGCAGCCTCAGCAGCTGCTATTTATTTATTTTTGTTACTGTTATAAATATATTTATCACACAACTTTTGCCAATTCATCTTTTTAACAGGTGTACAACTTACTGACAATAATAGCAATAACCAGCAGTGCAGCTCTGCCCTTAGTCAATGCAATATTTCTATAACTTCCCCCTCTCCCCTGCCCCTAGTAACCACTAGTTTTTCTCTATATACTTGTTTTTCTTGTCTTTTTACATAAGTGAGGTCATACAGTATTTATTCTTTTGTATTGACTTATTTCACTCAGCATAATGTCTTCAAGCTTCATCCATATTGTAGCATGCATCAAGACTTCATTTCTCCTATTTACTGAATAATACTGCGTTGTATGTATGTATGTACCATATTTTGTTTATCCATGTATCTGTTAATGATCATTTAGGTTGTTTCTACCTTTTGGCTATTGTGAATAATGTTGCAATGTACATTGATATACAGGTCTCTGAGTCTCTGCTTTCAAGTCTTTGGGGTATATACCAAGGCATGGAATACTGGGTCATAGGGTAGTTGTAAAGAGTTGATGCTTTTTTGAATTATGGTGTTGGCAAAGAAAACTGAAAGTATCATGGACTGCCAGAAGAGTGAACAAATCTGTCCTGGAGGAAGTGCAGCCAGAATGCTCCTTGAAAGTGAGAATGGCCAGACTTTGTCTCACATATTTTGATCATGTTGTCAGAAGGGACCATTCCCTGGAAAAGGATATCATGCTTGGTAAAGTGGAAGGTCAGCGAAAAAGGGGAAGACCCTCAACAAGATTGTTTGACACAGGGGCTATATTAATAGGCTCAAGTATAGCAATGATTGTGAGGATGGCTCACCACCAGGCAGAGTTTGGTTCTGCTGTACATACAGTTGCTATGAGTGGGAGGCAACTCGATGGCACCTAATAACAACAGTGTGTCAGTTCTATTTTTAGGTTTTGGTGGAACTGCCACATTGTTTTCCAAAATGATTGTACCATTTTGCATTCCTACCAGTAATGGTTAAGGGTTCCAATTTCCCCACATCCTCACCAGTTATGTTATTTTCTTTCTTTCTTTTTTTCAGTCTTAGCCATCCTAGTGGGAGCAAAATGGTATCTCCTTGTGGTTTTGATTTGCATCTCTGTGATTAGCTGATGATGCTGAGCATCTTTTCATGTGTTTGGCAGCCATTTCAGTGTTCTCTTTGGTGAAATGTCTACTCAAGTCCTTTGCCCGTTTTATGATTGCATTATTTGTCTTTTTGTTGTTAAGTTGTCAAAGTTTTACATATATTTTGGTTATTAGATTCTAGTTAGATAGATGATTTCTGAAGATATTTTCCCAATCTTAGTTTATCTTTTTACTTTTTTTTTAATTCCTTTTTACTTGAGATTTGGGTGAAAGTTTACTGAGCAAATTGGTTTTCCATTCATTAATACATACACATTTTGTTTTGTGACATTCATTGCAACCCCCACCATTTCCTTTTGTCCTTCTTTCCTATCCCTTCCTTGCTTCTTTGCTTTTTATCCCTGGGCAAATGCTGTCCTTTTGATCTCATATGATTGATTATTCTAATGAGTGTGTACCTGCCTGATATTACTGTTCACTTTATAGGCCTGTCTGGCTGAAAGTTGATTGATAGGGGTGAGTTTAGGTCCAGGCTTGAAGGGTGTGTAAGGTCTATAATCTCAGGGGTGGTAAAGTTTTTCTGTGAACAAAAGTTCTTAGTTTTTATGAGGTCCTGTTTATTTGTCTTGTCTTTTGCTGTTGGTGCTTTTGTTATTACATTAGATAACCCATTGTTGAAAGTTAGGCCTGACAGCATTGCCTGTGTTTATTATTCTAAGAATTTTATGGTCTTAATTTGTACATTTAAGTCCTTAATTCTTTTTTTGAGGGGGTCAATGCAATTTTTTTTTTTTTTTTGCACTGTTCCCTCCCCTCCCTTCCCACCCCTAGCAACCAACAAAGAAAGTTTCCCTTCATATATAAACCTTTCCTTGACCCTCCATAACAACAAACTAATACTATATTTGTCCTTCTCTGATTAACTTATTTCTCTCAGCGTGACATCCTCCAAGTTCATCCATATTATGCAGTGTTTTGCAGACTCTGCATTATTCTTTAGTGCTGCATAGCATTCCATTATGTGTATGTACCATAGTTTGGTCGTCCATTCTTCCACTGTAAATCTTGGAAATAACACCCTTGCCAGATATGTAATTATCGACAAACATGAATTTGTTGCTGTCATTTTTGTTAGGTGCTTTTTCGTGGTGTTGATTTCTTTGTTCCATATAATTTTGTATGCTATAATTTTGTTTTGTTTATGAATCGTGTTATCACTTCCTTCATTGCTACTGTTTTAGTATTTGCTGAGTATTTATGCTGGTCCTCTTTTTTGATGTGAAGGTTTATCATTTTTCTTTGAGGTTGCCCTGTGATTTTCTTCCCAAGTTTAGAGCAGTCCATTCTATCCTGTAGTTGTCTTGACTTCCCTACCTCCTAGAAGTTCTGTAACAACACAGTTTTTTCCCTCTTTCTGGTTTGTAGTTGTCGTCATTTGTCAATTGATGTCTCTGGTTCCCCGTTTACAATCTTGTAGGCTTCTTTACTTTGGATACTTCCATAGCTGGGTTGGTTTCTGGGTTATATCATCATGTGTGTTAATGGTAAGTTGTTGTTGGCTGTTGTTGATTCTCTGTCCAAGGACTCCCTTTAGCATCTCTTGTAAGGTTGGTCTGGTTTTAACAAATTCCCTTAATTTCTGCTTATCTGGAAATGTCCTAATTTCTCCATCATATTTGAGGGACAATTTTGCTGGGTACATAATTCTTGGCTGGAAATTTTTCTCTTTCAGGGTTTTATATATATACAATCCCAATTGTCTTCTTGCCTGCATGGTTTCTGCCGAGAAATCCGAGCTTATTCTTATTGGTTGCCCCTTGTAGGTAACTTTTTGTTTTTCCCGTGCTGCTTTCAGGATTCTTTTTTTGTCTTTGGTTTTGGTGAGCTTGATGATGATACGTCTTGGTGATTTTTTGGGGGGGTCTATCCTGTTTGGGGTTCGTTTGACTTCCTGAATGGATATTCTCATCTTTCATCATACCAGGAAAATTCTCTTCCAACAAATCTTTGACAGTTTTCTCTGTGGTTTTATTATTCTCTTCCTGTTCTGGAATTCTGATTACACATAGGTTATTCCTTTTGATGGTGTCCCACATGAACCTTAGGCTTTCTTCATTTTGTCTTGATCTTTTTTCTGATTGATCCCTTTCCAAAGAAATGTTCAGGTAATTGCCTTCAATCTCACCAATTCTGTCTTCCATTGATTCAATTCTGCTCCTTTGCCCATTCTGTGTCTTATCTATTTCTGAAAATTTAGTATTAATCTTCTGTATTTCTGTCTATAGATTTTGTATCATCTCTAATTTTTCATTTATTTTGTCATGTTGTTCTTGTATTGTCTTTTGAAATTGTTCTAGGGTTTTGTCTGTGTTTACCTTAATCTGTCTCTCAATTCATTGAAGATACCTAAATATAATTCTTTTGAATTCCCTATCAGGGAGTGCCAATGCTGTGTGTTCCTCAGGGTGTGTTTTGGGTCTGTGTCCTGGTCCCTTGTTTCTCCTGCTTTATCTTGCTTCTTTGTGTGGACTGTGATGCTCTGTTGTCTCCAAGGCATTGTGACGTTTTTGTGTTTATATTTAAGTGGTGATTGTATGTTGGAGTGACTTGCCCACGATTTTCATTTTCTTTGTTTTGTTTGTATGTTATCTACGAAAGCAGGGTACTGTGCTGTGCTCATCTATTCACTAG